GGCAGCCAGCGCCACGACCAATCAGATGCAGGCACTTGTGTGGTGCGTTCAAAGCCCATAGGGCATACTGCCACACAAACAAGACGTGACATGGAAACGCTGGATAATTACTAGGGGTGAACCGTTCATAAATCTGGCAGTGATGCTGTGGAGGAGTGGAGCTTAAATACTGGTGACTGCAGGTGAGTGGAATGAGCTTGATTGTGTTTTCTGTGACGGGAGGGGTGAAGCAATGAGTGAAAAAACTTGGCTGTGAGAAACTATGACGTGAAGTGAAAGCAGGACAGACGTGATTCATGACATTAATCTTTTGTTTCAATATGAGTCAGTTGAATCATTCTTTGCCTGGCCTGTCACCTAGGACCAATCTGCTATTGGTGACAATTGAACTTACCCCTGACAGCATAGCTCCTAGGATCATTCAGGCACACAAACTCCTCCACCACGATAAGGTGATGATTCAACAGAGGAGGCCACGTGACGTCACTCTAGATTAACAGTCTGGATGCTGGCATGACATAATGCATTTCTTCTTTTTGTGTTTTCTGCAGATGCTAAACAAGGTTAAAAAAATAGAAAACTAATATTGGGAAAATTTGGTCTTTAAAAAGTTATTGTAGTTGAGTCTATGTTTGGCTTTGCTCTAAGGAACCTGCTTCTAACCCTTCCATTTTTACTTTTTACCCTCATATATAACACCATCTCCCTCCTTTCAAATCATATTTCTTCTTTAATAATCAGTTCCTGTTTGTTTGATTTATTTTCTTGCAGCATCGCAGATCGTTTAACTCTACGGCGAAAACTGAACTGCAAACCTTTCCGCTGGTACATGGAGAACGTCTACCCTGAACTGAGGTGTGATCATTAAAAGAAGATGAGCTTTACAGTTGTTTTATAACTTTGGTCAGTTTAACTAAACTAAGTAACTAAATAAGTTAGTCCTATTGTGTGAAACTGTCACTATACTTTGAAATGATTACATTGAATTGATGAGCCTACACAGTAGAGAGGAAGAGGATCACTTCGAAGCTACCTAATAACGTTTTTAAAGTGTATCTAAAAAATTACTTCATAAAAAGTTTCCTTGAATATTTAACTGTCTTGGTCAGTAAGTTAGTTTCAGTCTCCACTTATGAAACTTGATCATAATTTGTTCAAAACTAGTTGACTTGTCATTAATTAAAGTCAGCACAGATATTTTGTCTTTTGTCATTAGATGGATATAGTGACAGTCTAAACACCGGTCTTTAATTGAGGTGTTTTCACTTCTTTCCATTTTAATCTGATTCTTACAGGAGGCCTATGCAAAATAATGATTAACAGATTCTTTTTGTCTTTTTTACTTTCAAAAAGTCACTGAAGTGGTTTATTCTCCCTGCTCGAACTGTATGAGCTCCATATAATTGGAAATGGACAGGTTGTAATGATGTAGGTTTGGAGGAACGTGATGGATGCAGAGGTCCGGTGAACAGTCCAAGCTTCTCTGGTTTCATCAGGGTCCCTGAGCAGGAGGCTGTTTTCAGTGTGCTGAAACAGGGAGGTCTGTGTCTGGAGACCCGAGGGACTGACGGCCTTGGACTGGCAGACTGCAAGGCCACCAGGCCACAGCAACAGGTTAGAACTCTGCCAACAGGGGGATTATGGGTTCAAATCATTAGTAAACTCATCTAAAAAGGAAAAGAACTGTAGTTGTTTTAGTCAAACTGTAACAATGACATTATCATCATCTTATGCAGTATCTTGTTTGATCTGAGTGACTCTCACCTAATACCACATCAAACTTTAGCCCAATATCTGTAAAATTCATTGAAGTACGTCTAAGCTAATTAGCTGTCGCGACCATCTTCAACTGGGTTGATTCAGGTGTAGATGTTCAATGTTGTTTATTTCAGATGGGACGGCACAAATTACAGAATATATCAGAATTAGCCACGAGGGCTAGTTTTTGTCTGTAGTCCCTCATGGAACCATAAATATAAATACAATACATACAAATTTATTCCATAAGATTCTTCCATAAAAAAATATAAAAGCATATCAGGTAACATGATTAAAAATAATAAAAAAAAGCCATATAGCACAACAATAACCATTCATTACAATACAAACAATAAATTACAATGTGGAATGGATAAAAAATCCCATATTTAGTGGCTATAAGTGACTGTCAAGGAGCTATGATTTTAAGGTATTATTGGTATTGGTATTGGTAATTAGGGATGGGTACAACCCAGGTGAGCGGGGGCCTCATAAGTGGGCCCATTGCTCTCCCCAAAAGATACTGGGCTTTAATCAAACCTTTTTGTCCCTCGGATGAAGGACACCAGGTTAGAAACCCTCAGTGTTCTAAGCTTCTCGGGACCCACAAAGGGGTCTCCAAGAATTCTTTCCCTTAGACTACTGTTGTGTCTTTTCCTGGTTCGTTTCTGCTCGGTTCTGCGGCTGCTGGACTCTGTTTGGTCTCTCTTTGTCTGCTGGCTCCTGCTCACTTCTGGGG